TTTCACAGGTCGGCGCAACATCGAGGGCCGAAGGGCCTGTACTGCGCTGTAATGTTCTATGTTCTATGTTCTATGTTCTATGACAGTCTTGCCAACAATAGTATCAGTTTAGTGAATCTCTGCTGCACTCCCTCAAAGGCAAGTGTCTCCTTTCTAAGCTAGGGAGACCAAAACTGCATGCAATACATCAGGGGCAGTCTCACCACGGCCCGGTATAATATCGGTAAGACATCTCTAGTCTGAACCTAAATCCTCAAGCAATGAAAGCCAATATATAATTTGCTTCCTAATTGCTTGCAGCACCTGCTGTCTACTTCCATTGACTGGTGTAAAAGGACATCAAATTGTCAACTGCACAAAGTGTTAGGAATGTAGGAACCAGAGTAGTTCATTCAGTCCCTCAGGCCGTGTTCCGTCGTTCAATGAGATTATGGTTGAACTGTGGCCTAACTCCATGAACCTGCCTTTGGCCCATAATCCTACATACCGTTACTTAAAAACTTATCTATCACTGTTAACATTAACAACTGATCTTGCATCGACTGCTTTTGTGAAAGAGAATTCCAAACTTCTACCACCATTGGTGTGTAGAAATGCTTGTTAACACCTCTCCTGAAAGGTCTGGCCCCAATTTTTACACGATGCCACCTACTTCTAGAATCTCCAACCTGTAGGAATAGTTTAGCCTTATGTGCCCTGTCTTCTCCAATTAATATCTTGAAGACTTCAATTAGATCACCCCTTAATCTTCCCAATTCTAGAGAAAATAGGCTTAATATGTACAATCTCTCCTCATAACTTAATCTGTTAATCCCTGAAGTCCAGGTATCATTCTTGTAAACCTACGTTGGCTAATATATCCTTACTAAAGTATGTTGTTCAGGTCTGCTTGCAATACATCAAGTGGGGTCTAACTAGGGTTTGTATAGCTGCAGCATAACTTCTGCATCCTGATACTCTAATCTTCTAGATATAAAGTGTAGCATTCCATTAGCCTTCGTGATTATTTTCTGCACCTGTTCATGACATGTTAAATATCTATGCGCCTGAACCCCAAGTATCTTTGGACATCCACAGTTTTTAATTTTATACTGTCTAGCAAGTACTCTGATCTATGCTTTTTCATTCTAAAACGGATAACGTCACATTTGCTTCCATGGAACTCCATCTGCCATGGTCTTGCCCATTCACCATTACAAAATTCTGTGTGTTAGTTTAGCAAGAAATGAATGGTCAGCAGTTAAAATCCCCTGATTGCAAAATACTTCAGCTTTCCAATAGAATTTGACATGAGGTGGAGTTAATGCTTAGTAAGGATTGGGTTAATTATATTTGATTTTTATATGTTTGCAAATTATCTCCCACTTTTTCTTTTACTTTATTTCCTGTATTCAGGAAACATAGTCTTTGTGTTTCCATCAGGTAAAATGACTGACCATATATATGTCAGTAGCCAAAGTGTACAGAACAAAGCCACCAAATAAACAAAAATAGAATAATTCAACATACATTACAGCGTTTAACATACGCGGAATAAACTCGAGCATACATTTCAATGCATGGCTGATAGTTAAAGGACTGTTTAAATACATAATTTAAAAAGATTATATGAAAAAATATTTGAAGCATAAATTCAATGCAACCAGAACTTAATTCAACAAAGATGTATTTATTACCATAGTATCATAACAGACATTTGAAAAATCAACTGCAGAATAAAACATTGCATTTAGGCATTGCAACCACAAAAACAGCAATTGCATCTTCATCTTGTTTACAAGGCACATTTCTGGTAAAACTTTCAACACTGCTGTTATTTACTTAGTAAGAATTTTGTTTTGAAGGTACGTTTTTGAATTATGAATAGCATCAGAAATGACACCAATTATTTCAGTTACCCTGAGATAGTACTGGTAGTCTTCATAATGGTGCTGTCAGGAGTTGACTGTTCTATCACCTTAGTTATATTTTTCTCTGTACACTCCATATTAAAATAGGAAATTTGTTGCCACACTTAGCTACTAAAGTCAATCAGACAGAACATTTACATGAAAGTTAGACTAAACTTCAAGACGACAAATATTAAACAGTCTTAGGAAAAATAGAGAAGTTACTTTGCAGTCATAAAGCAAGCACCAATGTAGCTGACAATCAGTGCTGACATTCCTATGACTGACATGCGGAAGTGTCAGTTTTTTATGTTATTTGCTCTATTTTTGACAAGTTTGAAGAACATCAACAGTTACAATTCAATCATTGTTTCATTTGAAGGTTCTGGTGTAAAATCATTCTTGGTTTGCTGTTGGATTTGACTGCTTAACTTGTTCATTGAGTAATGTAGCATATGGGAATACATTGGAATGACTTCACAGTTGCAAGAAAATTCATAAAATATTTTCAACTATTTTAAGTTAAATATCTAAGTCGCATGAACAACAACACTTATGTCACCACTCCATGCATAATCTTGTCAGACAAATTATAACTGTATACTCATAGAGAAAAGTTACTGTAAAAATAATTGTGCAGTGTAGCTTTTCGATTACAGCGTAGCCAAAAGCATTCAAAATCACTATAGTGCAACTCTTCTGTGAATACATTGTTTCATTTGATATTTTCAAAATAGGTTATTCTGTCCTGGCCGACTGCCTGCAAACCTTTACAAATTAGACTGAAACTACAGAACCATAAATGTTATAAAAACACTCTAACATTAAAATGGAAAAATTTCAAAGCTAACATTTCCAATAAAGGTTACAACACTTTAAATTTTAAGTTAATTCTCATATGTTTTCTTTAAATAAGTTTAGGGGAAAATTAATGAGAAACTTCATTTATACATTTTCACTGCCATATCATCAAGAAAATGTAATAGAAGATATGGATTAAATTGTTTCTTTTTAATGATTCTATTATAATGTCATTGATTATTCAATTTGAAAAGCATCCATTTCTGTTTTGATTGTTTAATTTTAGCAGTAACATGACAAATTCATGAGCAATCCCATAATAAACATAACAAAAATATTTCTCTCTTTACTTTGAATACAAAAACAAACTATTGGAATTTTGTCCAAAATTAAACATTAATTGAAAATCAACTAAACTTTGTTATCCTAAAATTCACATTACTCCAGTTTGCTGCCTCAGGACTATTACCATCTTTGCATATAAAATCAGTTTGGAGTACCTTAGAAGTTGGCTGTTCTATCACCTTAGTTTCAAATTTCTTTCTTTTCGGCTTTTTATGTACTTTTCCTGTCTTGTCAGCTGCAGCCTGTCTCGAATTTACCCCACCTATATGGTTTGCAGCTTCAGTCTGTTCGCTGTTTAAATACCTGGAAGCTTCAGGGTTTTCAACTACTTTTGTCAAGTTTGCAATATCTTTCACGCTCACCTCCGAGTATTCTTCCTGACATAGACAAAAAGGGAGGAAGAGGAAGATGAGCAGGGACCAGCATTCACAAATCTTCAGAGCCATAGTCTAAGGGTTGGACACAGCAGCAATGTGCTAGTGTTATCCTTCAGTTAAATGCACTCCCTAAGAAGGTTGCACCAAGTGTGTAAATTTATAATGCTGTTGACTCCTGGTACAGGAAACTCTGGGACAGCCCAGTGATATAATCTCTCAGCTGTGATCGGTCATACCTACCAAAAAGAAATGGTTCGTATTACTTAAATGAGGTGTGACATTTTCATTAGTTAACCACAGTCACACAGAGAGGTGAATTTTCATGGATTTAATCTAACCATACCAATAGTTCCCTTACTTCCATCATTTTGGTGTAAGTCATCCATTTAACATTTGGCATAGGTCTGTTTTTTATTCAAGTGTGAAAAACTTTATTGAAAGTGAGAATTTGTGACTAATGCAGAACGTTCCTAAATGGAACCATGTGATAATCTCATTATATGGTTATCCCTAACTGGATAAATGTATCGCTTGTTGTTTTTTTTAACAGAAGACCTGACATTTGGAGCTTTTGTCAACGCTGCCAGATATAAAATATGTAGCAAGAAATTTATCTCAAAGGGAAAAAAAGGGCTTGTAGTAACTTCCACAATATTTAATTTCATTAATGTTTATATGTAATCTAAATGAAATTTGTTGCAGTTTGTTGCAGAAAGATATATATAACAGCTTTTGTTTCAGTCAATGTGATTAATGGCACTGCCCTTAGGATGATATTGTTCAACATTGAGGCTTATGCCAATGGATGACTCATTACAAAAACCAGACATTAGGTTATATATAAAAATACATAGATTTTTAGATTATGATGTGAATTTCCTATGTGTTTCAATGCGTCTTTGAATATTTCCAGAAGTTCCGATGTTCTGTTTGTGGGTAATCTGATGCAAATTATACCTGATAAAGCTATTATGTTTCAATGAAAAATAAAAGAAAATAATATTTCAAAACCTCCTGAAGATGATATTTTGTGTTAGATTTTAAGCAGAAAGCTGGTGGAAATGAATCACTTAGCCATTGTATATTCCACCCATTTTTCCCATTTACTTCAAAAGGAAGAAAAGTAAGGTGGGTATATAAAGAGGAATTGATTTGCTGCTATTAGTTTTTTTTTTCAGTGATGAAACCTAACGTCTACTTCACTCTCTCTACATTTTCAGGTATGTTTGAGAAATGCCAGTCAGAAGCAGGTTTTTGTGTGAAATTAGGGACTGTGGTAATGTTGTGAAGTCCCTGATTTCAGTGGTGGTTGAGGGAAAGTAATATATAAAGCAAGTTCCCAGACTGCTTGCAGTTCTAAACTAGTAACAGTTGGTGACTGAAAAACATAAGTAGCTCTAACAATAGCTTTATTCATAACATTTTGGATTAAGGGACAAAATTGTCAAAGAATTTCTCCTTTAAAACTTGGAAATGATATCTGGTCACTCTTGCCCAAAACCAGACTAAAGAACAATAAGGAAAATTTGAGTCTGGAAAAGCAAAAATCAAGCAAGCATTAAAAAAAGAACTAAATTATAGACTGTAAAGAAAAGGATGGTCATAATTTTATGTGCATATAAATCAAAAGTCTTCAACTACTGATTAGGCTTTTTAGATTTTTCTGTTAATAGGACCTAAATTACACCAAGGGGCATTTGTAATGTCCATAAAATGTCTAATAAATCTATAATTGTTTTTTAAGCGTCTTTAAGAAATAGAACATAGAACAGTACAGCACAGTACAGGCCCTTCGGCCCACCATGTTGTGCCGAACTTTTACCCTAAGCCTAAGGTCTATCTAACCTCCACCCCTACCTTATACTATCATCCATATGCCTATCTAATAGCCGCTTAAATGCCCCTAATGAGGCAAACTCCACTACCCTCTCCGGCAATGCATTCCATGCCCCTACCACTCTCTGAGTAAAGAACCTACCTCTGACGTCTCCCCGATATCTACCTCCTTTCACTTTAAAACTATGTCCCCTCGTAAAAGCTACCTCCACCCTAGGAAAAAGTCTCTGGCTGTCTACTCTATCTATACCTCTGATCATTTTGTACACCTCTATCAAGTCACCTCTCATCCTTCGTCATTCTAAAGAGAAAAGCCCTAGCTCTCTCAACCTTTCCTCGTAAGACCTTCCCTCCATTCCAGGCAACATCCTGGTAAATCTCCTCTGCACCTTTTCTAATGCTTCCACATCTTTCCTGTAATGAGGTGACCAGAAGTGGACACAATACTCCAGATGTGGCCGAACCAGGGTTTTGTATAGCTGAAGCATAGCTTCACAGCTCTTGAACTCAATCCCCTCTATTAATGAAAGCTAACACACCATACGCCTTCTTAACAACTCTATCCACCTGGGTGGCAGCTTTCAGGGAACTGTGAACATGAACCCCAAGATCCCTCTGCTCCTCCACACTGCCAAGAATCTTTCCGTTAACCCTGTATTCTGCTTTCAAGTTTGTCCTTCCAAAATGAATCAGCTCACACTTTTCAAGGTTAAACTCCATCTGCCACTTCTCAGCCCAGCTCTGCATTCTATCAATGTCCCTTTGTAACCTAATATATGTAAAGGGATCAATTGTAATTTTGTTGAATAATCATGTGACCTGATGATCCTTGACCTTGAAGCAGTGCCAACAAATGACCAGAAACTGTGGGGTTGGCAGGCACAAAGGAAAATAGCAGACGCAATGGAGACAGAGGATCTGGAGGATGAAAAAAATGAAAGATAAAAAATATTCTTTTTGGCAGTATTATATGCTTCCTTTTTTTTGAAGTATATCACTGTCCTTACATGTAAGTACGGTCCATTACAACCAATTAAGTATTTTATAAGTGTAGTCACTGTCATAATATAAGAAAATAGATCAATAGAAACATGTGACCAAATAAATTAACCAATTTGAAGAGATTGGATGGATAAATGAAAATATAATATAAGAGGCAGGCGTAAAAAAGGAATTATTGGGTATATATTCATTTTTATTCATTCACTGGATGTGGCCATCTTTGGCTGGGCCAGCATCTATTGTCCATTCCTAGTTGTTCTTGAGAAAGTGGTTGTGAGCTGCCTTCTTGAACCACTTTAGGTCATTTGGCTTGGGTAGGCCCACAATGTCATTTGGGAGGGAGTTCCAAGATTTCAACCCAGCGACACTGATGGAACAGCAATATGTTTCTAAGTAATGATAGTGAGTGGCTTGTAGCGGAACATGCAAGTGGTGGTGTTCCCATGTATCTGCTGTTCTTGTCCTTCCAGATGGTGCTGTCTAAGGATCCTCAGTGAATTTGTGCAGTGCATCTTGTAGATTGGACACACTGCTGCTAATGTTCATTGATAACAGAGGGAGTGAATGCTTGTGGATGTAGTGCCAATCAAGTGGACTGCTTTGTCCTGCATGATGTCACGCTTTTTGAGTGCAGTTGGAGATTCACACATCCAGGCAAGTGGAGAGTATTCCATCACTCTCCTGATTTATGCCTTGTCGATGGTGAACAGACGTTGGGAATTAGGATGCAAGTTGCTGCAGGATTCCTTGTTCTTGATCTGCTATTATATTCACAGTCCCATTCAGTTTCTGGTCACTGTTAAACTCTATAGTAGGAATGGGGAGGGGAATTTAATGACGGTAATGCAATCGAATGTCAAGGGGTGATGATTAGATTGTTTCTTGTTGGAGATGGTCATTGCCTGATATTTGTGTGGCATGAATGTTATTTGCCACTTGTCAGCCCAAGCCTGGATATTGTCCAGGTCTTGCTGCATTTGGACATGGACTGCTTCGGTTGGTGAGGAGTTACGAATCGTGCTGAACATTGTGCAATCATCAGTGAACATCCCCCTTTCTGACCTGATGATGCAGGGAAGGTCATTGATGAGGTAGTGGAAGATAATTAGGCTGAGGACACAACTTTGACAGAGTCATAGAGTTGTACAGCATGGAAACAGACGTTCCGGTCTAACACGTCAAAACCGGCCAGATATCCTAAATTAATCTAATCCCATTTGCCAGCATTTGGCACATATGCCCCTATACCTCTCCTATTCATGTACCATCCAGGTGCCTTTTAAATGTTGTAATTGTACCAGCCTCTACCACTTCCTCTGGCAGCTCATTCCATACACGCACCACTCTCTGTGCGAAATAGTTGCTCCTCAGGTCGCTTTTAAATCATTCCCCTCTCACCTTAAACCTATGCCCTCTAGTTTTGGACTCGCCCACCCTGGGAAAAAGACCTTGACTATTCACCCTATCCGTGCCCCTCATGATTTTATAAACTCGACAAGGTCACCCCTCAGCCTCCGACACTCCAGGGAAAATAGCCCCAGCCTATTCAGCCTCTCACTGCAGCTCAAATCCTCTAATTCTGGAAACATCCTTGAAAATTATTTCTGCATCCTTTCAAGTTTAATAACATCTTTTCTATAGTAGGGAGGCCTGCTGTCCTGGAGATGAGATGACTGCACTCCAAAAACCACAACAATCTTCATATGTGCCAGGTATGACTCCAACCAGCTGACAGCCTTCCCCCGACACCTATTGATTCCAGTTTCCTGGGGCTCCTTGATGCCATACTTGGTTAAATGAGATCTTGATGTTAAGTGCTGTCACTCTCATCTCATCTGTGCTATTCAGCTAATAATGTGTTGAGTCCTAGAGTGATAAAGTCATAGAATACTTACTGTGTTATTGCCCCTGATGTCTGTACTGGTCATCAATCATCCTTTTATTCTCTTACTATTTTTCAGCACTTGACCCTTTGCCTTGTATGCTGGGGCATTTCAAATGCTAATCTGAATATTTCTCAAATGTCTTGAGCATTCCCACCTCTAACAGCCTTTCAGGCAGCAAGTTCCAGATACTCACAACCCACTTGGTGAAAAGGTTTCTCCATAAATCCCTTCTAAACCTTCTGCTCCTTATCTTAAAACTGTGATCCCCAGTTATTGACCCCTCAACAAATGGTAAAAGTTTCTCCCTATCCACCACGTTTATACTCCTTAGAACATTGTACACCT